ATATGACATCTTGCATGATTTTTTTGTTTCGTAACAATTGTATTTTTTGCAGACCCCTCCACCGCTCTGTGATTTTGAGCAGTGGATCGACACTGAGATCAAGCCTGAAGACAAGGAATGGATGCAGAAACTGTTACGTTGGGAGGCAGAGGACAAGGAGATGATGGAGAAGAGACATGGAGAGGAGGCTGCAAAAAAGGAGCACAAGGAAGAGGAGGAAAGGAGGCGTATTGCTGCATACAGGGAGGAGAGGGAGAAGAAGCTTGAGCGTGGAAGCTGAGCGAAAGAAGCGATGGAGGATAATCCCGATGCCCTGAGGAAGGGAAAGTGGCCTCGTTACACTCAGTAGTCTCCATGACTTCCTAGTTCTATGGTTTATTCATGAGGGATGGGATCAACTAACATCCGACGCACAACCACGTCCAAACTTTGGAACTGGCACTTCATAGCCGATCTAACATAGTTCTCCCACTGGTCTGCACACCCAATTGGGATCATCTTCCTAAGGATGTTGGGAGGGGAACCTAGGTGAAGTACACCCTCCACTGTGATGCCACCATCATCATCAGCCCCATGCCAATGTAGCTCCTCCCGAGCCCTTGCAACCAACTCATTAAACGATGGCTTCTCATTGAATAACACAGGCACGCTTTGCATCTCAACAAACTCAACAGATCCATAGCGATCTCTTTCCACAGTGTCTCCATGATATATGCTCACTAGATTGTCCATCTAGTAGTTCAAACAAAAATTAAAATAAGTTCGTTTAGTCCCAAGTAGTTGTTATATAGTACTTCTCTAATAGATATTAACCAACTACACCCTAAATAACTATGTCTATGTACCTAACTATATTTATCTCACTAATAAAATCAACTAGCTATCTAATAACTATATCTATGTACCTATGTCACTAGCTATCTAACTATATTTATCTAACTATATCTATCTCACTAACTAAATCAACTACCTACATCATGTCATTTACTAGAAACTATCAAATAATCTAAGTAGCACTACAATTCAAGTTAACTAAGTACCTACATTGCATATTCAAAAATTTTACCTATCCAAGTCAATGCAACAATGCGACGCGGACGTGGAGGACGGGATCGATGGCAACGTCATGGCGCTCTGGGAGCAGGGGTCGTGTCACGGCCGGGGTCACCGGAGGGATCGCCTATGCGTGCGGCGAACGTGGCGAGCCAGGACAGACGAGGCAAAGCGAACCGAGAGGGGCGGCGTACGGCGGGCATGGTGGCCGGCGTGGCAGAGCGCGGCCGCGGCGTCCGCGATGGCGTGGCCGAGCGCGGCAGGTGCGGTGGCGTGGGCGGGCACAGGCAGGCGCGGCCGGGCATGGGCGGGCGGCGGCGGTGGGGCGGCAGCGCTAGTTCGGGGAGCGTTAGAGAGAGAGAGGAAGAGAGAAAGGATGGGAGGGCCCATACGTAATATAGGGCTTGGCTCCAGAGACCACGGCGCCAAGATCTATGGCGCAAAGCTCGACGCTAGGATCTACGGCACCGAGCTGCCTGCCAAGTTAGCGCCACGTCTGCGTCGAGCTCAAGAACTCGGCGCCAGCAACGATGGTGCCAAGATGTGTAAGCTCAGCGCCAGCAATGATGGTGCTGAGCTAAGGGTCCAGATTTTGAAATCATACCTCCAGGGGCATATTTGTGAAAAAATTCAAAAAGGGCAAAAAAATAAAAAATTCAGCGCCAACTATTGGTGTTTCGAATCACTGACTAGTAAATTTGTGATTTGCGCGTTTGGCCCAGATGGTGTGCTCGAAGGACACAAGAATTTATACTGGTTTAGGTAGAATTTCCCTACGTCCAGTCTGCTGTTGCTCGTGTTACCGACACTATTTTGTAGTAGGGGTTACAAACGGGCGAAAGAGGGAGCAGGTCCCAAGTCTCTGGTGAAAGGGTCGAACAGGGTTGAATCTCGTTGAGCCGTGCCCTTCGTGGGGCGTTCTACTTCCCCTTTTATAGATGAAGGGGAAGGCGCAGGTTACACGAGAGAAAGAGGGAGAAAGAGAGAGAGAGAGAGAGAGAAAAAAAGTAAGGAGGAAGAAGTCCTCCGGGTCGCGGTGCCCTTCATCTCCTTTACACAGGTCCCACCGGTCCTATAGATGATGACGGGGACGGCTCCATGTCATGACCCTGTTCATCACTGGCGCCATACGCGGGCGTCATCAGCCGGTCGTGGCGCTCCATTCCGTCCCGAGCGGGGGCATGGTTAGCAGATACCCCGTCGGAAGTCGTACGGGGATTAGGTAGCATAGCTCTGGCACGACCGACACTGTTGGCGACGTGAGTCCTCAGGTATGGCCCGTCGTGGCCTCGGGTCACGTCAAGACGTGCCTACTCCCTTCCTGGTGTCAGAAGTTTGACGCTAGGTTCGTACTATTAGACCCGTAGTGGTTGGGGGTGGTACGGACCCCCATCGGGTGAGGCGGAATCCCCCTTTGAGGGGTCTGGCGAGGCGAAGTCCGCGCCCGAGGGGTCGGGCGAGACGAGAGCCCACACCCTCGGGGTCAGACACGATGGAACCCGCGCCCTCAGTGTCGGGCGAGATGGAGCCCGTGCCCGAGGGGTCAGACGTGACGGAGCCCGCGCCCGAGGGCTCTGGCGAGATGCAGCACGCGCCCTCGGGATAGGGCGAGATGGAGCTTGCGCCCTCGGGGTCAGGCGTGACGGAGCCCGCGTCCTCGGGGTCGGGCGACACGGAGCCCGCACCCTCGGGGTTGGGCGAGTCGGAGCCCGTACCTTCGGGGTCGGGCGAGACCAAAATACGCTCTTGACCATCCGGGCGAGTTAGCGTTCACGGCCATCAGTTTCCTTCTTCCAGGTATCCCTAATGCTGATACCCAACACATACATATGCAACTAGGGAAGGGAAACACTTAAAATTTCCATTCTTTAATATTTTGTTATAGGTATATATAGATATATAGTTATAGATTAGATTGGATGACAAATTGCTTAAACTTCCCGTCACAATTTGATTAGTTGGATCATCGGCTGACCAGGTTGCAATAGTATTTAGTTTGACTCTAATCAAATATATTATAACAACGTAGCGATGGAAATATTTTATTTATTAGAGAAGGATAAAGAGTTCAAAACTCATGATACTATATTATTTTTTATTTATTATTCCACTTATATGAAAAACGGGAGACAAAGAAAGAAACAAGAACCGAACGAAAGAAAGGGGAAACTAAAAACGGGACTGCTAATGCGCGGACGTTCGGACGTAGCTTCGCGCCCGCACCCGACGCACGCAGCTCCGTTGCCCCGTGCCCATCCCGCTCGAGAGGTTGTGTCCGTCCGAACAGAGCTTCCGCGCCCGCGCCCGACGCACGCAACTCCCTCGCCCGTGCCCATCCCGCCAGAGCGCCGTACCCACGCCCACCCCGCTCCCCATCCCGCTCCCTACCCCGCCCGATCCGCCACAATATCCTGTTCCCGTCGCTCCCATGTCCACAGCCTCCATCTTCGCCACACCAGGGAGCCGTAGTAGCTGGAGCACTAAGGGCTTGGGCTTCCTCCACACCTATATCTAGATCTACTTTTGTAACATACGTCGGAAACAAATGAAACATCTGGAATATACACTTGCAACATAGCCATTTGCAACATATGCAACATCTAGATAAAACATTAGCAACATATGTTTGAAACAGATGAAACATTTTGATCAAACTCTTCAAACATACGTGTATAGTCATTGCAACATGTGCATCATCCATATGAAACACTTGCAACATACCTCTGAAGCATCTTGAAACACCTGGAACATAAGTTTACAACACGCGTTTTCAGCGCAACATGGCGCGAGCGGCGCGACGAACTGACATGGTGGAGGCGGCCGCGGCAGGTGGATGGAGGTGCCCCGCCGTGATGGAGTCGGCCGCGGCAGGCGGACAAAAGAGCCACGGTGGGCGGAATGAGTCCGCGCGACGCAGTGGAGGCTGCAAATGCGATCGGGTGGGGGCAAGTGGCGTGGGCAGATGGAGACCTGTGGCGGTCAGGGCGCACGGTGTGGGCGGGATGAATTCGTGTGGGCGGGAGAGAGCGGTGTGGGCGGGAGTGAGCGGAGCATGTGGAACGAGGCGTACGAACGGACACCCGCTTCCCAACGTTATCGAACCTAGAAACAGATGGGAATGTTTTCACAGAAAAACGGCACGTTCCATCTGATGGGACTATACAAGAGAAAAATAGACACGGGAACTTCTAGAGCGGGTGGCCGAGGATGAGCCACTCGGTGATTAGGGTCACCAAAAAAATAAGTGGTAGGAATGTTGGCTTTTTAATATTGTTTTACATCAATCAAACTGTCTACAAGTTGCAGCAGAACTTACTACGTATTAGAATTGGACTTTGTATCATCAATAGACGTAAGTTGTTTTAACTTGTATGAATGCGGATCAGGAGCTCCAATCACATATGAGATACGAAGGGTGTGACCCTATATATATTGAAATCAGACTCTATTCCATCGTCGCGACGTGACTTATTCGGACTCATATGAGTATACGCCTTAAGTCCGAGTCAAATAAATACAACGAACAAAAGAAATTGTTTACTATCCGGATAGTTATGGAGAGGTGGACGAAAAAAATAGACTAAAATTTTGATTGTTTAATATTAAAAAAAATATAGATTATAATAGATATAGATATATAGATATGGGAATAGATTCTATTTTTCTTTTAGGTGTAGAGTCCGTGCGTTTTTACAAGAACCTGGTGGGTTCTCTCTCTAAATTTTTTGTGTAAATATTACGTAGTAGTAACACGTCCGGACTCTAACTCCTATTGCGGAACGACAGAGATAAATATGGACCAAGACTACATACATACATGTACTAATAGATAGAGATATATATATATAGATAGATATCACGCCACAACATTAGCGTTATTTTTTTAGTTTGATTTGATCGAGTGAGAAGCTCATCAGGCGCATAAATTGAGATTCAGATCCAATATAATGAGCGGCGACGTGGTCTACCGCTACGACCTCGTGACGTTGAAGAGAGAAGGCGGCCGACACGAGCATGACCATGACCAACGCGGCATCGTGGTGCGCATGCCAGGCAACAGGCGTGGCGTGCGCCGCGCCAACGGCACCGTGCTCTCTGCCGGCGGTGCCCTCCGCGTCGTCGATAGGAGCATCTTCCGCCCAGGCGACATCGTCGCGTGGGAGTCGGACGTCGGTGGTCAGATCGGGGTCATCACGGGAGTCTTCAGGGCGCTCGATCTGGTTCGCTTCGACGACGACGGACGACGGCAGCAGGGTGTTGTGTCGGGGTCGCGGCCAACTGAGGAGCTCCGCCGCGTCACGGGGCTCGTCTTGGGCGACTACGTTGTGTCTGGGCCATGGCTCGGCAGGGTCACCGAGGTGTCCCTCCATGCGGACGTGGCGTTCGACGACGGTGCCCTTTGCACGCTCACCGGGGCAGAGAACAAACTGGTAGGAGCCCCAGCAAAGGAGGAGGACAATTACAAGTACGACCTGCGGAGCGGTCGGCAGTCGAACAGCGTCTTGTACCCTGGGCAGCGCGTCGTCGGCCAATCCCCATCAGTCTTCCGAGCGTCCCGATGGATTAAAGGCTATTGGAAGCCCAGTCGCATCAGGGGCACCATCACCAGAGTAGGCGTCGCCGGCGTGCTCGTGCACTGGGTCGCCTCCATGCATCTGGGCACCAACAAGGCGCTTATCCAGGCGTCGGCACCGCCGGCATGGCAGCCGAACCCTGAGAAACTGGCACTCCTCCCTTATCCAGCGTCAGAAGCGAGTGTATGGTATGTAGGCGACCGCTGTTTCTTTCGCACCACTCCTCCCGGCCATGGCCACCAGCATGCTGCTCATCCGACTGGCGGTGTCGTCATTGATGACGAGTCGCCATCTGCTCGTCATGCCCTCCGTGGACGACTGACGAGAAACCAGCACGGGAATAAGCGACGACGACGACCGGACCTGCTGAGGAGAGAGTGGGAGCGGCCCATGTCTGTCGCCGGCACCCGCACGACGCTGGACGTGCTGTGGCAGGACGGCACGCGGCAGTGCGGCGTGCCATCGACTTCACTGGTCCTCTTCAATACGGCGCGTAACGACTATGATTTCTTCCCTGGGCAGCACGTCATCCGCAAGCCCGCCGGTGAACAGACGCCGGCGGCGGCGGTGCACTCCGGTGTCGTCCGAAGCCTCAACTGCAGGGACAAGACTGTGTGTGTGTCATGGTTCCCGGCCGGTGGAGGGGCCGCCATCGTAGAGGAGGCTGGTGGCTGCGGCGAGACCGTCATGAGCGCGTATGATGTGGCCCGTGACTCTGGTGCTAATTTCTTCTACGGAGATATTGTTGTTCGTCTGCGGCATCCAACAGAAATAACCGCCAACGATGATCTTTCATGGGTTGGACATGTTGTTGATCTGTGTGATGATAGGCACATCCATGTCAAGTGGGGTGATGGCGATACGTCAAAGGTATTATTATTGCATCATATATATTATTGTTACTACTCTAGCCAAAATACTAGTAATAATAAACATAAATATATAAGCATGCTTCATTTGCTCTCTATAAATCAATTGCTAGGGTTGACTTTCTCAAGTCAAGTTTTTCTATTTTTGACCCAATTTATAGAAAAGAACACAAATATTTATGAAACCAGATAAACATACTATGATAATATATTTTATAGTATATCTAACTAATTTAGTGTCACAAATCTTTGCACTCTTTTCTAAAAAAATCAAGTTAAACTATAAATTAATTTATTCAGCTAAAGATATGAGGGATGTATACCTACCAATTAATTATATTTCAGGTTTTACCTCGCGAGATAGCTGTTGTCAAACCACAAAGGATCATTGAGATGCTACGGGAACTCGGCGATTGGTTGGATGACAGTGGAGACACGGACGGGCAGAAGGAACAAGAGGAGGGCACGTCAGAGGCAGCTCAAGAGCCCGCAGCAGCAGCCATCACTGACAACAATGGTGCCGAAGGCGTCCAGGATTCCTCCGATGGCGAGAGTGACAATGAAGACAGCCCTGTAGTGACCACAAGGACGACAATGGACCAAGTTCGCTCGGCCGCGCAGGCTCTGATCCGGCTGGCTGGTGACGCCTTTGCCCTAGGAATGTGGAACCGCCGGAAGACTGTGGTGAAAGAGTCTGGAGGCCCAAAGCCGCCTGCTGCAGCCATGGAAGACGTTGTTGAAGCCGCCACGCTCATGTCAGGGGGCGATGCCTCTACCTCTACCTCTACCACCTGCGAAGTGAAAACAAGCCATGATTTTCCGCAGTTCAATGTCGTGCAGAGCCCACCGGATCACCATTTCATTGACAGCATGGAGCAGGTACTTGTTTTTTCTTTGTCTTTATTATACTTACATACTCAATTGACTTACAATGCATGTTTATATATGGAATTGCGTGCTTGAGGAAAATGCTTATCCATGTACGTTGGTTGATGGAACTAAAAAAAACTAGTAGATATGTAAAGGGATTAAAGTTTCTAAAGTAAACCTAACTTTGATTTGTCCACTACAAAAAAACAAGAGTATATTTTATTTGCTACAAATTAAATAAAACTCTTATATATTATTGTTGTAAAAGTTTGCTTGGAGAGTTTAACTATGGCCACGGCCAGGCAACCAACCAACTACCAGTAGTAACGAGTTGGTGCTTTAATAATTTGCAATTTGACTTGGACTGGCTACTGCAGGGCACTCCTGTCGGAAGGAAGTGGACAAAAAGAGTCCAAAAGGAATGGAAGATTTTGGACAATGACTTGCCTGGTAAGCGTACAATAGCTTCTGCTATACCGGTCAGACCGGGATTAATGATCATGTCGATACGTATCAATCAAGCTCAACATGTAGATTGAACTATGAATTAAAGTGCAGGCAAACAAACACTTATTATATATATAATAGTATATCGAAATGTATTTTAAATGCAACTAATTTGCAAGTGCATGCAGACACCATCTACGTGCGTGCGTTCGAGGACCGGATGGACCTGCTCCGGGTGGTGATGGTGGGCGCCAGCGGCACTCCGTACCATGACGGGCTATTCTTCTTCGACATACATCTACCACCATCTTACCCCACCGAGCCACCGCTGGTGAACTACCGCTCCTTCGGTCTCCGGGTGAACCCTAACCTCTACCCCTCCGGCACGGTGTGCCTGAGCCTGCTCAACACCTTTGGAGGCGAGGGAGTCGAGCTCTGGTCACCCGAGGCATCCAGCATCCTCCAGGTGGTCATCTCCATCCAGGGCCTTGTGCTCACTGCTCAGCCCTACTACAACGAGCCCGCATTTGGGGCTCATGCTGGCACAGCCAAGGGTCTACGCAACAATCTCCCGTATAGTGAGAACACCTACCTTCTAAACCTCCAGACGATGCTCCACCTCCTGCGCCGGCCGCCGGCGGGATTCGAGGAGTTTGTCAGAGATCACTTCCGCCGTCGTGGGCAACATGTGATCCGGACGTGCGAGGCATATCAGGATGGTTGCCTCGTCGGCACGCTCGATGAGGAGGGACATCCCACGAAGGACAGCAAGAGACGGCCATGCTCGGCCGGATTCAAGCTTGCACTACTCAATATCCTGCCAAGGCTAGTTGAGGCGTTGACCAACATCGACGTCGTCCAAGGATGCAAGCCTTCCTGATATTATTGTATTATTAAAACTATGGAACGTTGGCCAACATCGACGTCCAAGGATGCAAGCCTTCCTAATATTGTATTAAAACTATGGAGAACTAGATGTAATCAGTGTAATAGCTAGTTCATATGTTCTATATATATGTCAATAAATAAAAGACATATATAGCCATTGTGCACAATTAAAGATGGCAACGGGCAGTAAATACACGCGTACCCGTGGGCACCGAACCCAGTGGGAGTGGATACGAGCGCCAACTTATGCCCACGGGCACAGGCGCAGGTAAACCCGTACTAACATGTGGGACAATTGCAAAAAAGGTATTCATCCCACACCCGGACGCCGCCATCCACACTACGCGCGGATGCGCTACCCCCCACCCGTGACTTCCCGATCCTGACTCGCGCAGCGCACCTCCTCTCCGCTTGCGCCGTCCTCCCCGCTCCAGTCGCTGTCCCCACCACCCAGGCCGTCATCTCCGCCGCGCAGGGCCGCAGGCCGCCGTCTTCACCTCGCAGGCCCCCCTTGCAGCACAATCGAACAACTTTTATAGTAAGTAGTAACACTGTCATATATTTTTTTTCTTCTTACATACGTTTTTTTTGTTCCAAAGATGTTTTGGATTTCTGTTATATAAATTAGTCCATCAACCTGTACTTTCGCATGAACTAGTAATTGTTTGATGCATGTGACTAACAGAATTCAATTGTTGCTACTAAAATATAGATCCCGAGGTGGTCTACAACTTTGTAATTGATAATCAGCATGTTCGCTGGTTGATTTCTGGGCTGATAAGCCCGGCTGGTGCTGGTTTATTGTGAGAAGAAAACACTGTTGGCTGGCTGATAAGCCCTGGTTGAAACCAACAAGCAAACAGGCTGAATATTTGAAATTGTTTGTATAGTCCAAAAAGTTTAAGTTGTAGAAGTTTAAAATTTTCAAACAGTAGTGCTCAATACAATCTATAACTTTGTAGTTGACAAGTTTTTACTTATAAGTTGTTTAGAGTCCCAAATATATGTTTTAACTAGCAAACGTGCCAGTGTGCATTGCAACATAATCCAATGCAATACATATAGGAATCGGACTTTGTATCATCATTAGATGTGAGTTGTCATAACTTATATTAGTGTGGATCATGAGTCCGGGTCACATACGAGACACGGAGGACGTGACCTAATATGTATTGGAAATTGGCTCTATATCCATCATCACTAGACGGAAGAAAAAACTGATGGGACAGAAGAAACACTTCAGTATCCGGATAGTTAGGGGAATGTGGATAAAAAAAGATAAAATTTTGGCTTTTTAATGTTAGGTATATAGATACAGATTTCTTGGACTATAAAATTTAAATTTAGAATTTTTAAACGGCCTTGAATATTCATATGGTTGGTACCAAAGTAATACCAGTCAACCTGATCTACAACTTTATATAGTTGATAAGTTTTTTATTTTATAAATTGTTTAGAGTCTTAATATTTTGATTTAAGTTCTCATACTTTGATATTTTGAAGTTTTCAAACAATCTTGAATGGAAACATATCCTATACCAAAACTATAGTGCTTGGCGAGTTTTAAAATTTGTAGTTAAATTTTTTTCGTTTGGGATCATTTAGTGGCGAAAATATTCATCAAGATTACAAAATGTTGATGAAAAAGAGTGTATGTATGAGCTAAAGTTAATGGGTTTGAATCCTAAAAGACAAATATAATTTACAGACGGACCGCCTTTGTAGATGGCCCGCCCAGTAACAACTAACAAAGATCATTTGACAAAGGCGGTTGGTCTGTCCACTTCTGTTAACAGAAAATACTCGCCTTTGAAAATACTTCCTGCACTGGTGAAGACTGAAGCAAAGCGTTAGTTAAACCTCTATATTAGATGAAAATAGTTCATGTACTAGTGAAGACTAAAGCAAAATGTTGGTTAAACCTCCCGATATTAGAACAAGTGAATGGGAGGACAAGACTGAATCAAAATGCAGGTATTTCCTTGCATCATCTATTTGGGCAAACGCACACGTATAAACCTATTAGAACCAAAACTTTTAAAGATATGAGAACATGAATGTTAGTTTATCTGTAGTAATACGAGATAGAGACTTAGCCTTTATGAGGGGGCTAACATTTTTTACTTTATATTCAGTACCACTTTCATATTTCTTTTTATATTGTCATTGTCGTAATCATTTTTCACGCAAGAAGCATTACATTTTTCTTTTTCACAGTGTTGACAGCCAAAAGTTTTTGAAAGAGGTTGAATCCCGATTTTCCAGCAGAAACAAGCTTAGCTGCTTTCTCAAATCAGCTAAGGCGTTTTTGAAACTTTGTGAAAATGCATAATGAACTCTGTCATTGTGTTCCTCTCATCGAGACCATCGATCGGCTAATTTAGAGTTTCAGACCAAGAAATTATGGCCTCAGAAAGTTGTTTTTGCCCTAGACCAATAGAAACCGGTTAAGTCGGTGTTCCCAGTCCAAGCCTAATTTGAATCTAATTCGATGATAACTCACCCAATGTTGTGGGAAATATGTAGATTCCATTTGGTCCCTACTAGGATAAAACCACATCACGGCTGATTGAGGGAACCCAACACACAAACGTAAAAAAAAAAACATATTACACCTTTTATGGCTGACGAGTTGCGCGCAGCCAAAGACGTTTTGAAAACCGCTTAGGAAGATAAATGGGACGATTTCAATAGTTTGAGAAATGCAAATATCAGATTTTCTATCTAGTAGGAGGAGGTACCGCGTGATGTGTGAGGGAGGTCGTCAGGAGCACTTTTTCCTTTCCAACGCACGGTCCACGGTGCATGGGTGCTCTCTATGGGCCGGGTAGAGGAGATCACGCTAGCTGCAATGGGCCAGATGGAGTTTGCCGGCAGATCGATAGGGAGTCGGTCGAATCGGATCGGCCATCGAGTCGGGACTCTCCTCAGGGCTCCCATCAAGTCGGGACTCCATGGTTTATTAGGTGACGAGGTGCCCCTCTGTCCTCTGATAATTAATAAATAAACTCTCCTCAGGGCTCAGGCTCTGGACTAATCGGTTAATCTTTATAGCTTGCAAAAATTGCCACCACCCTTTCGTCGGCATATATCTCAACCGCAGGCACGTCCTTCCTTCTGCACAGGTTCTAATTTCATGTTGTAGTACTATATTCAATTTCAATTTCTGTAAAGAATATATTTAAAGAAGTGCCACATGATGACATGACCTAACTCCTGGGGTTTGACTATGTACGGACTCCATGAATTTGCTTTGAGCTTATAAACTCTCTCGCCATATATATAGGATCAATTATATTACCAGATGGTTTGTGTGCTAACTTGTGACTGATGTGAACACCTTTGTAGATATATACATATATATAAAATCTTGCCTTGTTGTTCGTCTATGTATATAGGTACAGGTACGGTAACCGCTAGCATACCCGATAACACAAGTCGTCGATCCAGATCCACGATGGATGTACGCCAGCAGAACATTACACAAGCAGCAGCGGGCAAGAGATCCAGTACCATTACACCGGCTTACAAGGGTCCAAGACGACTGGCATTCAGGATCCGCCGGCGAGGGTTCACCTTCGAGGGAACGCCGAGCCTGCTGATCAGCGATCTCTACGGCGTCTGGTCCGTCACCCACCGGCGCTACATCCGCAAGACGAACCACCACCGCTTCCATGACCTGAAGAAGGATCTTGACCCCATCAGAAGAGAATACAGGGACCTGGTACACAAGCTCAAGATAAACCAGTGGCCAGAGTACACGCAAGACGAGGAGCTCAGGTCCTTGCGCCACAAGCTGGCCGACTTCTACTGGGCCGTCATGCCAAAGGAGGTGAAGGCGAGGATCGTGCTCTTCTACCATCACCGACGGCAGCGGCGCCTAAAGTGCTTCACTGCCGCAGTGGTGCTCGTGGCTCTGCAAGGTTTCGTGCTGCTCAGTCTGGTGCTCATGGGATGCTACAGCCTTAGGGTCAGCCTGTTCCTGGGCTTGGGTTACCTTGGTGTGGTGTTCCTGATAGATAAGGCCGGCGTGGAATATGGTCTCTGATGATCTGTTTCCCTATAGTCTGCAAAAATCACTTTGGGTGCCATGGATTGATATTGCACCCTTCTTGACAATATATGCTAGGTTAGCTGTTCTATGTACTGGGTTAATCTCTATGTCGACTTACACTAGCTCACTGCTCTTATTGGCTGCCACTAATTGGGGTCTTTTTACGCCTAGACGTATATGAAATGAAGTTATGCAAAGAAAAACTCATATGAACTTAATACATGCGATGTTGTTTGAACAATTTTGAACAAAATCTTGTGAACAACATTAACTAATCCAACAGATAAGAAACTGATTCATTCAAGTTAGGATATGGTAAATCAGCCTACCATTTGAAAACAGTTGTAAGACTGCTAATGTAAGTCAAATATTGCAATCTTTGTGACAACATCCCAGTTTAGGTTGGCTGTTTAGTGTTCTGGGTTGATATAATATATAGCATCACATCTATTGTTTCTAGTGCTCGACAGACAATAAAACCTTCCAGAAGTGCACCGTCAGGAGATGTTAGGTAAAGCCAGGACAGCAACTCTCATGGATAGATACCTGATGGCAATCCTTGATGTTGGCTGTCAAGGAAGATGTTTTGCATCCATGTCACAAACTCGTCAGAACCTACCGTCAATCTATTTTTGTCCGTGAATCAAACAAGAAAAACTACAACCTTGTCTCAAGAAAAATTACAACCTTGCCTTATGGTTTTATACTTGCCAAGTAATAATAAGATAGCTACAAATGGCATGGTCATAATAAAACACACGTCATGCTACCAACTTCACAAACACATCTCGGCAGGATAAAAGAAGCAACAGAGTATTGAAACGCAACAATCATACATTAGCCATTTTATGAACAAATGGTTTGTGATTCGATATAGAAAACCAGAGACATATAGGACTGACCTTGGTTCATTGTCGGTCACACAATACTTCATGCTTGTTGCACATATACAACTACCGCCATGGGATAATGTCTTTATCCTGCATAAGAGGGGAAGGGGAGGTTCACAATATACCATGATAGCTCATCAGTAGCGGATTCTTTATGTTCAAGGGCAATGTGTACATATAACCCTACACAGATAGAACTGAAAAGATTATTCTGTGTATACAAATGCAGAAAAATATAAAAATGTATAACATTAAAGTCACAATACATGATTAATGCAACACGTGGATTGACAATCTCAGCTAGCTCTGAAACTTTGTGTAATTGAGGCACTTTGTGACTACACTGGACTACACCATTCTGGCTGAGCCAGTTCTCCATCAAACCTATGTACACATTTAATGTATTTTGGAGGAAGACAGACCAATTAACATATAGCACAATAAACATTGCTCACTAATACCTATTCTGTAAAGCAGCAGACTGAGGGAAGACAGGATATGGATAAGATGATAACCGATAGGGACATAAATATTCGAAATATGTGTATAGTTATATGAAACACATGAAAAGATATAATAGCAAACATAAATTCTTTCTAATTCAAAAAATACACGGCCCTCCTACATATTCTCAAGATTAAAAACAAACATGAATAGCAGATTGGTTACATAAATGTACCTGTTATCAGTTATGAGGAGGTTTTACTTGACGTAGTCCCACTTTTGGTGTTCTTGATAGTTACATTTGTGGAAAATGAATTTGGAAAAGCAGAATGTAAATATACAGTGAGCAACACTTCGACAGAAAATCCAACAGGGGAAAATGAATTTTGCTAATTAAATAGTGCAGTAAATTCAAAGCAGAAACACAGTGATAAAGAAGAAATGGATTTTTCCATCTTAAGACCATCCAGAGATCCCATTTATAAGAAGTCACACCTGAGATGAATTCAGTTATGCTTCCTTAAAACAGAATGTCACCAACATAAGCAGGCATAAAGTGGAGAATGTGTCACAGTGTCAGGCACAGGATGACAGGATCGACTTTAGTGAATTTTGTGAACCATCCCATGTAAGGATGATCAGCAGTCTTCTTAGTGCAAAGCTAGGCTTCGACATTAGAACCCATCTCTCTGGAATCTAGCCTTCCAAGCACTAACCCTGCACAAAAAGCAGTTTGTGAACTCATGCAGGTAGTCTGAAGAGGATCAATAGCAAGCCCAACAACAACCTCACCTGTTCATCAAGCAGAACAAAGTGTAACCTATGGATCTTCAGAAGTTTCTCATCGTCCATACACTAGAGAACGGATGGACCAAACACGTGTAAGTACACATGAATCGAAAGTTTATGTGTGCTTGACGCTTGTTTCACCAAACCTCATCAGGCATGTCAAGGTCAGGACAGGATCAAGCGAGTCAATAAATAGCACTGGAGGAACCAAATCAAAGGGCGGAGACAGATACCTAGAGCAGAGGGAGAGGGATGGGCTTGGGGAGCGGCCAGCCCGTCAAAGCCGCCGCCGGCGGCGGCTGTGGAGGCTGCAGGCATGTGTGAGGAAGAAAACCGCTGTCGACCCCCACCGGCGGCGACACATCCACACAGCGGGCAACTGGGCATGGCCGTGCCGCGATGTGGATGCGGTGGTGTCCGTATCGCGAATTGCGATGTGGCGGAGGGAGTCGGCGTGGGTGAGGGCCGAGGGCGGTGGCGGTGGCGGTGGCGGTGGGACCGGATGGGCAGGGATCTGTGGGCCGGTTCAGCCCAACAACGCCGAAGCTAAGCTACGAGCCTGAGCCCAGCCGAGCCGAGCCGCCTCTAGAAAAAGCTGGCACTGGATTTGAATCCACCCGCCCCGCAGCAGAGCACCCTCGTTCCCTCTGCTTCTTCGCCCCCCTCCCACATTGCCGACGCCGATCGCAAAGCAGAGGGCGCTCAGCCACCGCACCTCCACCGCTGCCTCCACGTCCACCTTCACGGCCCCTCTCCGTCGCTTGCTCGTTGGTCCTAGCCATCACCCCCGCTCGCCTGCCACCATGCAGTACCCCGACGACACGGAGGACCTCAGTGCGACCAGCGGGGACGAGAGCGACCAGGAGGACGAGGCGGACGCCCATGTCGCGGGCGCGGACGGCGATGAGGCCAAGGAGGAGGAGGCGGCCTCGGACGCCGACGAGGCCAAGCAGAAGGAGGCGATCTCGGACGCCGACGAGGCCAAGGAGGACGAGGCGGGCTCGGACGCCGACGTCGAGGCGGACGCTCCAGCCGCGGGTTCGGACGCCGACGGCGACCTCGACGTCCAGGAGCAGGAGGATGAAGCCGACGTCCGAGCCGCGGGTACGGATGCCACCGACGCCGACGAGGAGGTCGACGTGGACCCAGCAGACAATCGCCGCGCCAAGCTCGTTGTGGCCGCGTCGCTCCTTCTCGCGGCGATCGTGACGGTTACGGCCACCATCTACGCGCCACCGCCTCCGGTCACCCCAGCGCTCACCGACAAGGTACATGCACAAGTCCTGTTGGCTGTTGATATAGTGGATTTGGCCTCCGATTCCATTTATGTTGGACGTATGCCTGATGGAACCCTTAAGCTTAAACTGGGATTGCGCTGCAAATTGGGACGAATTTTGATCCATGCTCAAATATTCGGTTGGTGCCTTTTACTCTGTTTTTGTGGCATTGTGTAGAAGAAACGCTGCATTTTAGTTCAAGTCCATGGAAACTTTTCTGTGCTTACTGGATTAGCCAACTGTGCGCTTGGATCAATGTATAAAAACTGCTTGAGTATAGGTGATTGTAGAAGTAGATATGATAAGAGTGTTTCGAATTTACTGCTATAGTACTCTGCATCTAGGTGCTAATGCATTCAACTTCTGGAATGTCTTGTCCATTTTAGCATAATGAATTGATGATACCACGGTGAAAGGACTTAGTACCGCTTGTGTTTTGAAACTTTTCACCCTTCTTTTTTCCTAATGATCTTTGTTCGAAAGAGGAAGGCATAATTAATTGACCTTGCTGATGTGTCATTTTGGGGGAATCAGTTAAGAATTAGGTGGCATAATGCAAATGTAAATCAGTACCGGATGAACTGTCCATTTTTAAGTTGATACTACTATAATAAGGTCAAGTATAGAGAATTAGGTGGCATAATGCAAATGTAAATCAGTACCGGAAGTGGGAAGATAATTCTGCATAGTAACCTTTTCTTCAACCTACCAGCAGCATGACCCTTTTTTAAAATCTTCACACCATGTCTCTAATATAAACAGGTCTGATGCCTATTACATTCCCCACTGGTGATCTGACTTTCTCTACAATCCATAATTTCCCAAGAGGTAACTTCCTAAAAGCACTTCAATCTACATATATGGTGCATAAGACTGATTTGTAAACGTATGCAGGGGGTACTGCTATTGCTAATGACAATAACAAGAAATGGAGCGGTTACAATCCAAGCTCTGGTAAGTTTTTCTTTTTCCTGACCCAAATAATGAAATTCATGTATATAAAACTCGAACCTAATATTTTCGTTGTCCCCAGTTAACTTCCAGGTTGGAGTTGGGCCTGGAGATTACGACAATCGCCTACAACTTTCTGCCCTGATACGTCGCTTCTTAAGTGTGGTTTTCACGTCGTTTCTACATATGTTCTACTTTTGGCATCTGTTCGGCGTTTTGGACCTAGTGCTGTTGCCACTGGTCTGGGTACTGATGGGGATCATCCTATACCATGGATGAATTGTAGGAAACCATTGTGTTCCCAAATTTTTGCAGAGTTTTTTTTTTGGACCTTAGGTGTTAGTGCGTTCATTATGGATGAGCGTACAGACAGGTATAATCGATCTATGCACAAATGTTCTAAGTAGTGAGATCTAAACTGGGCTATGGAATGAAATTTGGATATTTGCCACGGCTATTGTGTTGTGTGGCTTTACAAACTTGCCACGTTCATCCATAGTTGGTTTCGCGAAATTACCATTTTACTCAAGTACTTCTTGGTTACCATGCCATTTTGCATCATTTATTCATATTTGTTTTGCTTTTCCCATTATATCGCACATTGGCACCTGACCGAACTGTCCATGCCTTTTTTTGAGTGTGC